ATGGGTCGCCTGGCCATGGAGTTCTGCAAGCAGTGCCTGGCGCGCAGTGCCTGGATGTGGAGCTGGCCGCACTACGCACTGCACGCGCTCAACCCGAACATGGGCGAGACAGTGTTGAAGAGGCTGGAGGCGGACCACTCCATATACGACACTCTCCGAGGTTCACCCGCGCAGACGACGCTTGTCAAGAGCGCGTTGAAGCGCCATGTCTTTAATCTCCGCGCCAACAAGCAGTTGATCGCAGGGCTGGCCGAGACCAAGGGCGAGCTGACGGACGACCTCCGCGCAATGCTCGTGGAGCGCAGCCGCGTCAACATGGCCACCCAGATCGTGGAGGACACGAACGGCCTGCAGAAGGTGGAGGCGTCGAAGGTGTGCCGGCGCTACCGGAAGGCATCGACCATGATGGCAATCCCCTTGGAGAGGAACGTTATTTCCAACAAGCACCGGTACGATGGAGTCACCGTAGATGTCCCTACCCCCTTGGTGTCTGACAAGCTCCCAGGTATTAACTTCGTTCCTCGGAGGACGCCACTTCGCTGGACTTCGAGCGTATTGCATCGACTTCGGCGACGGCGCCGTGGCACTCGCCTTCGTCGACCAACATGGCGGTGAACGCGGCCGACTTACATATGCTCCGCACTGCGAGCGTTGCTGGCAACGATTGGTCCCTGATCGGGAAGGCCAAGTGGGGCGGGATCTGCGCGTTGGAACACTCTTTCATGATCGGCTTCCCTCGGGCAGGCGCCCCATTGGAGAAGGATTGGTTCCTCCCCTTGCAGCACATGTCGTCATCGGTTGTGCTCGTCTGGCCAGTGACCCTCGAGAAGATCACGTCCGAGGTCACCGTCGCCGTGCCGTGCACCGCGCTGGAGCAGCCCGTGTTCAAGCTCGTCACCGACATCATCACGAAGCGAGGGTGCTACGGCGTCGCTGGCAAGTGGAGGCCGTGGCTGTGGCTTGTCCCCACTATGAAGAAGCACGCCATCGGGATGCAGCCCGGGGTCCGCCTGGTGCTCGAAGGGCCCACCGAGCCGCTCGTGAAGCTGGCGTGCCGGCGGGCATCATGGTCCCTGCCTCGCGCCTTTGCCGTCGATGCTGCGAGGGAGCTGGGGCTGGACGTCGCGGCCGCCTCCCCGTTTGACGCCCTGTGAACGGTCTTGAAGATGCAGCTCGGCCTCTGCGACAAGAGCATCCTGGCTAATCTTGCACGAGCGGGTGGGCAGGGGCAGGCTCCGGGACGTCACGACGGAGATCCTCTTTTGGACGCGGACGAGGGCGTCCAGATCTTGGGGATTGCCGGGACCACCAGGAAGCTCAGGGACGCGAGAAAAAGCAGGTGCAGACTGACGCTGCCGAGGCTTCGGATTTTCGCCGGAGCTATCGCGAGAGAGCTTCGGCAATGCAGGGCGGGAGCGGCAAGCCCCCCGGGGGCGGGAACACGATTCCCCATCACATCGATCAGCCTTCTGCTAAGAGGCTGATGCCGCCAGGGCGCAGCGTGTGGAGGAATGTCAAGGGCGGCGGGTGGTGCGCGCACCCGCCGCCCTACAGTAGGTTCAGCGAGTCCTTCGACAAGCATGGCGGCAACTCCAAAGATGCCTACCTGACCCTTCTTCGCCGGGCGTGGTCCCTGTATGCCGAGAAGGTCGGGGCCGATGTAAGCGCGGTTTGCACGGTGAAGGATTTGTTTTCGGAGTAGGCGATCGGCCGTTCTTGTTTGCTGGTAGCCTGTGACACCTGTGTGGATGATCATGCACAGGCTCTGGGACAACGGACATCACTCGAATAAGTCCCTAGTGAAATCCAGGGGCGAGTGCCGGCATCAGCAACGCGTCGGTTGGGGGCACTGGCGCAAGCACACAGCAATTTCGCATAAGAGTTTAACTCGGCGTCGGCCCTGATCGGGCCGGCTTGCCTTTCCACGCTGCTCCTACAGGGTGCGCGCGGCGCGCGGGTGACGTTCCACAGGCGGCCCAGGTGAGAAGCAGTTCCACGTGGGTGCAAAAATCAAATCGCACGGGCGGATCTCGGGACAGGGCCGAGGAGAGGGGGGGCAGGGGAGGCTGGGCGTGCAGAGGGAGGGAGGGCGAAGGAAGGAAGGAAGGGGAGGAGGGGCACGAGGAGTATCAGGGATTGAAAGGAGCGGGTGGGGAGGGAGAGGAAAAGGACGAGGAGGAGGAGGAGGAGGAGGAGGAGGAGGAGGAGGAGCAGGAGGACGAGGACGAGGACGGACGAGGAGGATGAGGAGGAGGAGGAGGGGGAGGGGGGAGGAGGAGGAGGAGGAGGATGAGGAGGAGAAGGAGTAACAGGATGGGGAGAGGAGGAGGAGGAGGAGGAGGAGGAGGAGGAGGCGGAGGAGGCGGAGGAGGAGGAGCGAGAGGAGGAGCAGGAGGAGCAGGAGGGGGAGGAGGAGGCGGAGGAGGAGGAGGAGGAGGAGGAGGAGGACGAAGAAATGCGAAATGCGACGGATGGAGGAGCATTGGCAGCTCAATGCCACAATGCGGATGCACTGGGAGCACCCTATCCAACGCTCTGTCCGTCACGTTGCCGTGTCCGCATGTGCTCTTCCGAACGCGTTGCCTCGGCAGCCCGGCGTGGCATGGAAGCCTACGGGGTGCCAGATATTGACGCTTCGCGAATCCCCGCCAGTTTGCCCAAAAATTGCGCCGTGGCGATCTGTCGAGGAGAGTGGCATAGAAGCACAATGTTTGAACAACCTGCCGACAACAATTAATTTAGACCCTCCCCTCGAGTTTCATCGAGGCCTCTTGGAGCCATCTTGGCACTTTTGGGGGCCTTTTGGACGTCGTCAAGGCCCCGTGGCTCCCATCGGTCCTCTTGCGGCCATGCCATGTCGGAGGCCATCGAACAAAAACAAGGCGTAGAGAATTTGCGCTGCCGCCCAGGGGATCGAAATGTCGCGTCTTCTAGCCCCCTCGGGAAGGCCCTGGGACGCCGTGGGTGCAGTCGTGAAATTTCGTTTGGCTTCTTCTGGGCTCCCTTGGGCGACCTTGGGGCCATCCCGAAGCCTCTGAGGCCCATTGCCAGCGAAAAAGGCGAGAAGCCAAGCCATACCAAAGCATATTCAGCCAAACCATACTAAGGCGTTGCCAGCGAAAACGGCGAGAAGCCAAACCATACTAAAGCGACGGCCGTCTTGGCGTCATCTTGGGCCATCGTGGGCGCTCTAACGCCTCGCTTCCCCCTCGTCCAGTTCCATTGGAGCGGGCGCGGCGAGTGCTGCCCCCCTCCCAGAGGAAGAAAGAGGGTGGAATAAGCAACTCACTGCGCTAAACTGCTCATGCCCAAATAACTTGTGGGATTTTCGCAGGGGGCGCCACGAAAGTCTCTAATGTGTGTCCGCCCCTTTTCCGCTCGACTCCGAAGTGTGATTGGCTGGTCGACGCTTCCCTGCACTTGGGCCATGTGTGCGCTAAGAGGACCACGCAAGGATGACATGGGGGGGGACGGGAGAGGGGCAGCTAGAGCGTTCGTCAAATGCCGTGGAGCTCCCGAACTCTGACGGACCATCTGGGCAGCGGCGTGCTTCCCGCCCTCATCATTCCTTTTTCGCCTCCCTCCGTTTCGCCATCATTCGTGCCTGTGCGTCCTCATCCTGTCATCCCGCGGTTTCTGGGTCACCGTTTGGGCTCGATGGATTTCCTCACGCAGCGTCGCAACCGCGTGTTGGTGCCTGTGTTGACTGCGAGCCTGGCGCGTTTATCGCGCGAGATATGTAGACTGGAAGGTCATGGCAATGTCAGCATCATTTTCTAGCCGCGGAACATCAAGCCTGATTTTCCCGCTTTTGTGGTCCTAGTGGGAGTGGGGTGTGTATATATATATATATATATATATATATCCGACCCTCATACATATGCTCCAAGAGGTCCCGAGACCGCTCCGATACGAGTCCCAGTGGCCTTGGAGCCTCCGCCAGGACGCCTCCAAGATGCCCAAATCCGTCCCAAACCAATACGACAACACAATGCTTTGCTTGTCTTTGCCTCCTCGCCATTTCGCTTACGATGACCTTCCGAGGCCTTGGGGGGAGCTCCACGATGGCCCAAGAGCGCCTCAAGAGGGGCCCCAGAGGGCTCCAAGATGGCACCAAGAGCGCCCAAGAGCGACCCCAAGCGCGCTCCAAGAGGCCGCCGCGAGGCGATTTTAGGGGCTCCGAAGGGGCGATGTAGTTAGATGACGACTCTTTTCTCAATGTGATCTAAGACGGCCCCAAGAGGGCCTCCAATGCTCCCCAAAGGTCCTCAAGGCACCTCCAAGAGGCCCCTGAGAGATTCCCAAGAGGCCCCCAAGAGGCCCCGAAGAGGCCCAGAAAGGTCCCCAAAGAACCCCCAGATGCTCCCAGTACTCCCCATGCGGCCACCAAAAGTCCTCTAGGAGATATCCCAAGCGACACCGAGAGGCATCCAAGAGGCCTGAGACTCCCCGAGGTACCGTTGACAAAGATATGGCGCGTTGACAAAGATATGGCGGGTTCCGGTAACCCTAAACCCACATATGTTGCCATCTCTTGAGGGCAGAGTTTTGCTGCGTCTGCCAGCTTCCGCCAGCCATCCGCGGGCTTCTGTCAGCGGAGCCGCCTCCGATTTGCTCCCGCGGCCTTCAGCCGGCATTCTGCCGCTTTCCGCCGAGGAAGAGATATCAACTCCTTTGGTCCCTCGAAGACGCAGGTAAGGTTAAGAGGGCGCGGGCTGCGCACACATGCGGACCGCCACAGCTCCAACTCCATCCCGTCGACAACGATCTGGCTGCAACTGCGTTCGCTCGCGCATGCACAGCGAAACTCCGATTCACAACTCCTACGAGATGCACAACGACATCGATATCGACATCGATGCACACCGCCAACGAGATGCCAGCGACATGCACACAACACCGCTGCACTGCATCGACATCAACGCACAACGCCTGTGCGCGTGCGTGGCCATGACACTTCGCCTCCCCTGGCAAGGCTGTTGCATCCCGGCCCTGTAGTCCAGACCACCGCCGCTGTTCGCGGGGGTAATCCCGACCTGGCCCGTCTGCCCATCTGCGAGGGGGCCAGGCGGCGGACAGGAGACACAACGATCAGTACGAGAGCGAGGCGGGGACACATGCACATCCGCCACCTGGGAAACCGACGCCCTTGGACCCCAGCTGGCGATGGATATTGATATAGTTTGGCCCCAGTGGGCCCGAGGACATCCACGTCCACCGCCTGCCGATGTCCACGCGGGCGGATCCGCCCGGCGTGGGCGATGGGTAGATCCCCGCCTCGGAATAGGAGGGACGAAGAGACAGGAATCAAGGGATGGAGAGAGTGGCGGGAGAGCGAACGTGAAGGAGGAGAGCATGGATGAAACGCTGCATTCCTTACAGGGGTAATCTCTGGCAAGCTGCACCATCTGATCCATAGTCACTTCACGCCCAGGCCTCGGGCGGCTCGAAACAAAAGACACGCTGGATCCGCTCCGCTTGTTCGAATCGGGAGCGGCCAAGAGGGGGGTGTCCAAGAGGGGGGGGTGCAAATCATGACCGGCAGCATGTGCGCGGCCCAGCGGGGGGGGCAAGGGACGTAATAAAATTATCCCAGTGCGACCCTACCTAGGAGTTGGAGCCCCTAGGAAAGCAGCATTAGTAGTAACAGTAAAACTAAGCTAAAGCTAAGCTAAAGCTAAGCAAAAGCTAAGCTAAAGCGACGCTAAAGCTAAGGTAAAGCTAAGCGAACACTGAGCTAAAGCTAAGCTAAAGCTAAGCTGAAGCTAAGCTAAAGCTAAGCTACAGCTAAGCTAAAGCTAAGCTAAAGTTAAGCTAAAGTTAAGCTAAAGCTGAGCTAAAGCTAAGTTAAAGCTAAGCTGAAGCTAAGCTAAAGCTAAGCAAAAGCTAAAGCTAAAGCTAAGCTAAAACTAAGCTAAAGCTAAGCTGAAGCTAAACTAAAGCTAAGCTAAAGCTAAAGCTAAAGCTAAAGCTAAAGCTAAAGCTAAAGCTAAAGCTAAAGCTCCCAGGGGACTGGGGGAACCGCTCCCAGGGGACTGGGGGAACCGCCCGGGGCGCGTTCCACTGCCCAGCCCCTTTCAGCTAAGAGAGTAAGAACCCTCTAGGCAAAGCCTAGGTAGGGAATAAGAAGAGGCGCCATGAAACCTGAGGAAATATCATCGCCCCCGCCATGCTATCCACCCCCCCCCCGTAGTCACCACCCCCCTCTTTTCCGCCCCCGATCGAGTATCCCCCAAAACGTCCGTGCCCTGACCCCCCCGGGGCCAGGAGACGACCCGGGATGGCACGCCGGCCCCGGGGAGCGGAGCCGAGAGCTCCGAGGGGGCTGCCGTCTCGGATCGCCGAGCCGCTGGAAGCCCCCGGGGGCGCAGGCTCGGAGTCCCTGCGCCCCCGGCGCTCGCGCAGCGAAGTCTCGGCCCGCACCGCGTGCACCACAGGGGAACGCTCAGGTCGGGCATGTCCCCCTACAGGGGGTTTTTGGACGAAAAATTTAAAAAATACCCCCCACGCACTCCAAGATGGTAGAGAAATGGTATAAGAATCGTCCCCAGACGACTTTTTTCCTATCTGGGAATATTCCTCCTGTAGAGGGACAGGCCCGACTTAAGGGAACGCGTAGTGTGCACACTCGGGCGGCTCCCGCAGGCGCCCCCCCCCCGCACGTGTGCCCTCCGCCCCAGCCTCCAAGCAGCACTGCTGCCAGCAGCAGCTCTGGTCCACGGAGCTCGCGTCGCACGCGCCTCGGGCGGCGGGGCTGTGCGCCGCGCTTCCATCTGCGTCCTCCTGCGCCCCCCCGTAGAGTTGAGCGTGCTGTCTCAGGAGCCGCGCCGAGCGGGGTAAGTGAGAAGGAGGCCGCTGAAGTCCCCACGGGCCTCCGAAACTCCGAAAGGGGCGAGACGGGCTGATGACCTCGATCCTCTCCACCCCCCCTCAAGAACCGCGCCCCGGGAGTGTCCTGTGGCGCGTTCTGATCGGATCTTCGAGGCGGATCCAGCCGCGGCGACGAGGGCGCCCCAGGGAAACCAGAAGCAAGGCATCGAAGAGCCTCCGTCCTCGAGCCTCTCGTCGGCATCCTCCCCCTGCTCTCCGGGCTGCGGGAGAGGGGGCCAGGCCGTCCCCTCGCGCCCCACGGGAGCGCGCTCCAGAGACGGCCCTGCCACGGCGTGCGCTCGACCTCCGAGACGACGACGACGGCGGCGTCGGCAGACGATGGACGACGGACGACGTCGGACGACGGGCCACGACGAACGACAGGCGACGACAGACCGCGACGACGACGACGACGGACGACGGACGACGAGGTACGACGACGATAGCCGTGGCGGCGGTGGCGTCGGCGTCGGAAACGCGGACGACAACGACGACGACGAAGACGACGGCGACGACGGCGACGACGCCGACGCCGACGAGAACGCGCGCAGGGGCGCGGGGCAGGGAATGCGGCCTGGAGTGTGGGCCCACTTGCACTGGCACTTGCAGCCGCCCTCCGGCGACGGCGCTTGCCTGCCCAGCCCCATCGCCGCTCGGGTACGCGCTGGTTGAGTCTGGTAATCGCTGGTGCTGGCGCATGCAAGCTGCCCGCCAGCCCCCAGTGGGGGGGTCGACACTTCCATGGTGCCAGAAGAGAACGCACTATACGCTCACGGAATGATCACCCCAGTGGGAGGTCAGACATCCCGGAGAACGATCAAGACCATGTCTTAACACAACCCACACCCGGCGCTCAATACTGAAACTCGTATCCCAAAAATGAAAAGTTGAATCGTGTCCTTGCGCATTCACCGTCCGAGACTCACAAGTGAAGAAATTCAAAAGCAGAGTTCTGAAGATCAACATTGGGTCATGGAACTGTAGAACCTGCAAGGTCCAATATTGAAGTTTGGCTCAGCATGGAATTCCTGAACTTTCATGTTGGCCAAATTGTTCAATATTCAGAACTAGATTCAAGTCGGGCACGTCCCTCTACAGGAGTAAAATTCAAAAATAGTCAAAACATAGTATGGGGACGATATGTTTAAATGTTTAAACCATATTGATTATGTTTGACTGCTTTTTATTATTCGTCGAACATCCCCCTGTAAGAAGTTTCACTATCATTGAGGTTTGAACATCAATATTGGAGGTTCCGTCACCATGGGGGCGACGAGTGATGCGGACAAGTGGCAACAGGGGGGGAAGAGACAGAGAGAGAGAGAGACAGAGAGAGAGAGAGAGAACAAACAAAAAAAGAAAACAACACAACAGTCGCAAGAGGCGGGAGGGGAGGAGGGAGAAAGGACGGGGGAGGAGCCAGAACGGAGGAGGTTCTCTCAGCACGCCACTTTGCTGTGGTTCTATACGTTGTGTGTTGTGTGATGTGGTGCGCTGTGCTGTGCGATTCTGTGCACCGTGTGAGAATGTGCTGCGCTGTACTGTGTGGTTCGATGCTGCGCCTTGCTGTGTGTTGACAACCTGCTTTAATGTCCGGCCCACCGACCCGCCCGATGGGATTGTGCCAGCCCGCCCTCTTTCATCAAGGGAACAAACTCGGAGGTCCGCGCGGATATCCTGAAATCCGCGGGGAACCCCGAGTTTTTATGTTTATGTCATTCTTCGTTTCCCTCATGATGTCCCGCCCGCGCAGCACGCACAATTTTGGCGGCGCGCACACAGGGGATGGAGGGAGGGGGGAGGGCTTCTTAGAAGGAGGCTGCTTCTTAGAAGGCGCCGGCCTCAATCTATAGATATGGGCCGCGCCTTCTAAGAAGCTGGGGTGCTCCTACGAAGCCCTCCTCCCTCCCGCCACCCCCCTCTGCGCGTGGCCGAGGGGGGTGGATGCCCTACTCCTCCTCCTCCTCCTCCTCCTCCTCCTCGTCCTCGCCGTCCTCGTCCTCGTCCTCCTTCTCCTCCTCCTTCTCCTTCTCCTTCTCCTCGTCCTCCTCCTCCTCCTCCTCGTCCTCCTCGTCCTCGTCCTCGTCCTCCTCGTCCTCCTCGTCCTCCTCCTCCTCCTCCTCGTCCTCCTCTGCGCGTGGCCGACAATCGGCGCCCGCCCGCCCGGTTGCGCCTGCACCCTGCGCGCACACGCCCCACCCGCCCGCCGCGCACCCGTCGCGGGGCGCCCGCGCGCCTGCTCCGCGCCCGACCCGCCTGCGCCGAGGCGCCCCGCTGGGCTCCAGTCAGCCCGCCCGTTGTGGGTGATAGGTAAGGATAAGAGGAAAACAAACCTACCTCGCTTTTGACCACCCTCGCTTCCAAGAGATACCAAGCGATGCCAAATTGCAGCCTGTACTGGTCAGGCCGCTTGACGGGGAGGCGCGTGGTATGGCTTGGTTTTGCCTGGAAGCGAAAGCGGGGTAGGTAATTCACGCTCTGAAAGGAGCCGAGCTCTATACACCAACGTTTTGTCCGGCCCCGCACTGGAATTCGCACAGGAGAGCGGATCCTGGTGTATACGGGATCCTGGTGTATACGTTTGGCGCTGCGTCCCTGGGAGAGGGAAGAAACAAGTATACACTGCACAACCCCGACGTAGTCCCCGACCCTCAAAAAGTCCTGGGATTGAGAAAGAGCCCGCGGCCCAGGGGCACACAAGGAACCAAACACATGCCCCAAGATGCCCCCACATTTCCGTTATCTTCGGGGTTTGCCCCTTCCCCCCCGCTTCCCATCTGTTCCCATACTTTCCTGGGGGTCGACGATTCATTGTGTCTGTGTGTGTCTTCCCTCCTGATTGATGCAGTGCCCCGCCCGCGCAGCACGCTGAGCGAAACCCCGTTGCTCGCCAGCGTCTGCTCTTGCTTGGGTGTCCCACATGCCGGACCGCCCGTCCTCTCCCGCCCACTCGCTCTCTCGGGCTCTTCCACGCAATGCTCGCCCGCTGGACCCGCCCACTCGAATCGGGACACCCCGCCCGCCCGCCCTGTTGCACTGCCCGCAGCACCCTAGATGGAACTCGACCGCTCGCTGGCATCTGCACTTGCTTTGATGCCCCGCCCGACGCACACGCCACGGTACGCGCGCTCGCCTACTCGGACTCTTCCTTTGATACCCAGTCCCCACCGACCTCTTCGGAGGCCCAATTTTTTTCCGCGCAACATCTTGGGAGAAAAAAGAGGGGCATGAGGTAGGGGACGATCGCAACCGCACTCGAGTAACACGTGCACTCCTTGGCGAGACGCGGCAGGGCCTGACCATCAGCTTTATTTGCAGCAGCATCCCAGAAGTAAAAAAACACCGGCGGGAGGAGGAGAATAGAGGAGGACGAGGACGAGGACAGAAAGGATGACGAGGAGGGAGAGTGGGCAGCGTGGTTGCCAAGAACGGCTGTCACGCACATATGCTGCTTAAAACCCTGGCCCATGCCAGAAGTAAAAAGGACCGGCGGGGGGAGGAAAAGAGAGGAGGACGAGGACGAGGAAAAAAAGGAAGACGAGGAGGTAGAGCGGGCAGCGTGGTTACCAAGAACGGCTGTCACACACATCGGCTGCCCACATCGGCTGCTTGAAACCCTGGCCCATGCCAACAGTACCAAAAGCACCAACGATAAAGGTGGAGGGAGGGCAGGAGGAAGGACGGCAGGAGAGAAGGAGGAGAGGGGAGCAGGAAAACAACATGAGACGAAAAAGGACCGAATTCGTATCATAGCGTAGCACGTGGTTGCCCAAAATCTGCCCAGAGAAAGAAACCGCCGTCGCCGACAGACCATGTGTCCTGCGAGCGTGGCCGAAACTCGGTGCGGAAATTGGGGCGGTTGTTCGCCTGAGCCCGAAAGCCTGAAACCAGGTGGGCTGGCCCCAAATGCAAATTACACTTCACGAAAAGATATGGTGAAGACTTTGATCACGTTGCGGATGAAACGCGCACGTCGGCGAAGGGGAGGGGAGGGGGAGAAGGGAAGGCTACGAAACCCGCGTCCGCCGCTGGGCGGAGCGCAGCAGGGACTCTAAAGCTGGATAGCCTCGTGCGCCTTCGCGCAGCAGGCCGGGAAGGGCGGCCGCTACAGCCCCGGCGCGCACGGCGCCACAGAGGGCCTCCCCATGAGCTTCATACACCGCGAACACTGCGAGCGCCCGTAAAAGAATCGCCTCTTCAGCATCATTCTCGCCGAGCCGGGAGCGGCGGGAAGGCCCGAGGTTCAGGAAACACGCCAGTCCGTCGGCAGGCGCTGGCCGTGCCAGACCGGCGTGGCGCGAGCAAAACGAGTGGCACAAAAAGGCGTAGTGCTCGATGGAATCCTCTCCGCGGCCGCAGCCGAGCAGACAATCCGCCCTGCCCTGAAAACGCCGCGCCGTGCACCATCCGTTGAAAGCCGCGCGGACGAAAGCGGCGCACAATCGGGAGGGGCCCGACGCGCCAGCAACTGGCAGACTGCACTCAGCCGGTCGGCCCGGAGCCGCGGGAAGAGATCAATGGACCACCTGGCAAATTTGACCTGGGCGTCAGCGCGGGCAGGGCTGCCCGAAGGCCACAGGATCATCAGCGCCCGGCGCTACCATGTTTTCCTGCCCTCGTCGTCCATCGGGTCCGCGTCCAGCAAAGATGAATCGAGGCTACGCGCCGGCTCCGCCGCCTCGACGGTGCCCGCCGCCTCCAATGGCCGGAAGAGGGAGCATGAACGGATCCACGATCAGTCTGTAAAGAACCGTTGTCTGACGAATGTAGTCGTTCGAATAATCGGCGAGCCCGGTCACGAACTCGAAGGCCACCGCATTGTCTGTCCTCGCACAGGAAAGTCCGAGCCGCCGCGGCCACGGCGCAGGAATCCAGGGAGGCGAACTCGAAATTAAGCCCGAGGTCTTTGAGGGATTGCAAGGCTGGCGCAGACATCCAGCCCCCAGGACCCAGGACCAGGCGAAGCTGCACCTGGGCCTCCACTTGAAGAGCCTGCTCAGGAACCCGCCGTCAGGTATAGGCCTGCGCCGTTCGACTTCCACAGCCCTCCGCGTTCATGGAATTTCTTCAGCGGTACGTCCCACGAGCGCGCCCCGCGGCCTGGCCCAACCTCATGCCCCAGATACTTCGCACGCGACGCGATCCCGAGCTGGCCCCGCTCGGGAACCAGCGCCGCTATGGCGGATCGCAGCTCCACCGGGTCGTAAACTGAGACTGGGACAACTAGCGTCTTCGCAGTATTCAGCCGGAGGCCCGGAACCTGGCCGAAATCCTCGAAGATGGACGCCAAGACGGGGGCTGCGTTGAGCCCGCCGCGCAGGAGCACCGCTGTGTCATCCGCGCACGCGCGGCGCAGAGACCAGCGGAAACGGCGAATCCGCTCGAGGAGGAGGTCGGACGCGGCAGCGAGGAGCAAAGGGGAGAGCGGGCAGCCCTGCCTAGCCTCCCGCGTGGCCACGAAGCCGTCGCACAGCGCCCCGCTAAAGGCCATCGCGCAGGAGTTCTGGCGGTAGAGGACGCGAATGTACTGGAGGAGCGACGCGGGCCATCCCGCAAGTCGAAACAACTCCAGCAGGAAGCCGTGCTCCACCGAGGGGAACGCGGCCTCAAAATCCATGAAGAATGCGAGGGCATCGAAGCACATGGCTTCCTCCACGTCAACGATGTTGGAAAGCATCGACCTGCCTTGCAAGATCCCGCGCTGGTCCTTGGAAATGCTGGGAGCCAGAACGGGCCCCTGCATGAGCTGGACCGCGTTGGCGAGGATCCTGTTGTCTGCGTTGACAACATTCAGCGGTCGAGCGCTGTACTCCGCGACGCCCACGTCCGTGACGCCCGCCGCCTTCTTCGGCAGGAGGTGCAACAGGCCCTCGTTGAACTCGAACCCAAGAGGGGCGAGCTCGTCCAAAGCGTCGTCGTCGAGGAGCCCGTCGAACGCACCGAAGGATAAGTCCACTGCGAAATCATCGAAGAGGCGCCGCACCTTGAAGGGGATGCCGTCTGGGCTGGGAGCAGCATTGCCCGTGAGCTTGAGAGCTCGACGGACATGGCGGCGACGGAGCCGGACTTGGACAGGAAGGCCCTGCAGAGGGCGCTCAGCGGGGCGCGCGGCTTGGTCCTCCTCAGCCCATGTACAGAGCAGGTCAGAGCTGTGACCCCGCCCCCAAAACACAGATTTCCAGTGCGCTCGGAGAACGGCGACCATGTCATCCAGATTCGTCTGGGCGACGCCCGAAGGGCCCATGACCGCCGCGATCCCCGTGGAGCGTCCAGGAGCGAGCCGATGAAGAAGGCGAGCCGCCCTCTTTCGAGTCCGCCGCGCCCGCGAGGCCGACGCGTCCTCCGTGTCCTCCGCGCCCCCCCCTTCCTGCCCAAGGGTTGGCGCGGCCGAGGCGGCGGCGAGCTCGTCCAGCGCGCGGTCGCGAGCAAGATCGGCCGCGTGCCCCCGGGGAGCTCGGAGGCGAACGGACAGGTTGCCAGACGAGTCGCGGGGGTTGTGGATCAGGTCGCGGAGGGGCGGGTAGCGGACGAGGCACTCCGAGACCTCGCCCAGGAACCCGCACTCCATGGAGCGGATGAGCTTCATGGTGATGCCCAGCATGTCCTCGCGGGGCTCCGCCGACGGCAGGGTGGCGTGGTCCGCGGCGATGCGGCGGGCGACCTGTTTCACTGCCTCCTTGAACATCTGGAGTTTGGCAAGCCCTGAAGTAAAGGCGGACGCAGCGAGGCGGTCCTCGAACTCGAGCGCGACTCGCCGCTTCAAGTCAGGATGCTGCACCGCGTAGTCAGGGACGCGCCGCGCGTCCTCCGGGCGCCGCTGCGGGGCGGGGCGGGACGCGAGGACGGGGCGGTGAGCGGACAGCTGGGGCTTCCGCTCGAGGGCGACCGCGCGCAGCTGCCTGTCGAGCTGGTCTGTGACGTCATGGTTCATATATGCCCTATCCAACCTAGCCCTCGAGGATGCTGAATCATGATGAGTGGGTTCTGGCTGGTGCATCTCCACGTGGCCGAAGGGGGTGCCATGCCCTCCCGTGGAGCGCGCCGAGCCGGTCGCGAAGCGGTCGAAGGCATCTGTGACGTAGTTGAAGTCTCCTCCCAGGATCGTAAGCGCCGATTGGCGAGGAGCGACCGCTCGTGCCAGGCGAGAGCGGAGGCATCCGCGGAGATACCGGAAGGAGGAAGCCTGCCCCGCTCCGCCCGCGAGAAGCCAAAGAACGCCTCCTCGGCAAGGTCGGCGCCCGTCGGGAAGTACGTCACTAGCAGGTCCAATGCCCCTTCTGGTCCGCGGAGCTCCGGCTTGGCAGCCCTCCCTGGCAGGATGATCTTCCACGCGGGCGGAGGGTCGAATTTCTGCAGCAGCGTCTCCTTCATAATGAAGCCGATGCCGGCGTGAGCTGCGGGGGCGCCGGCAGACCACCAAGCCGTCGCGCCTGTGGGGGGGCCCCGCGCCTGATGGACCCCCTCCGTCCCAGGGGCCTCCGTGGCCATGACCATCTGCGCGCGGCTCAGGAGGGGCAGCGCGCGCGCGCACTTGATCTCCGGGCGGCCAGGTGCGACTGCGAAGAGGGCCTCGGAGTTCCACAAGGCAACTGAGACGCCCCCGCGATACTGCCCCAGGCGACGGGAGTGGCTTGCTGACGTGGCCGGGGGTGTGCTCCCGGGAGGAGGCGCGATAGGCGAGCTGGGAAGCTCGCCGAGGGCGCGACGAAGCCGCAATGCACAATGCACGCTGAAATATACGCCCTCGCCCGCAGGGCCAACACATCGGAGCCAAGCATCGCCGCCTGGAAGAAGAGGGCGGAGAGGAGGACGGAGACGGTCAGGAAGAAGAGGATCAGGGTCAAGAGCGGGGCGAGTGACATGAGAGTCGACGACGGGGAAAATGGTTCGAATAACGTGAACAACTAGCCGAGGACGTGCATGAACGCGACGAAGGTGCACCGGGCGGGCCAATCTCGAACGGCGCGACGGTTGCCACGCGGATGGAGAAGGCGAGCTCGATGAGCCAACGCTCGGAGCCATCTAACAAGATGCACCGAAGTGCACCCCGGCGAAGCAGCCGGGAGACGCCCCCAAAATCGTCGGGACGTGGGGGGGCTAGGTCCACGTCCCCGCCCCGTTTCCCGGCCTCCGCAGTGCAAGGAGGGAGTCATTGAGGACCTCGACACGCGCATGCTCGCTGCCGACCTGGACTACCTGCCCGTGGGGTCATTCGTATAGCTTGCGGACCTCCTCTCGGTCACGGAGAAGAGCTCGGACGCGACCTGGCTGGCCGTGAATGTCGCGGGACTGGAAGGAGAAGTACTCCCCAGGGCGGAGTCCCTGAGGTTCGGTGGACTCCTGCAGCGCGATGCCGAGCTGCGACGTCGCGTGGTCCATGGGCATCGCGATCACCCTGGAATCCTGCGTGCCCAACTCCCCCTGGACCACGATGTCCGCCATGTGGTCCGTCCCTCCTCCGGAACGGGCTTGCTGGCGGGTGGCCGCCAACGCGGCGGTAGTCGCCGAGGGCGTAGCCACGGGGCGTCCACCATGGGCCGAGGGCCGCCAACGGATGCGGGAGGCCGACACATCGGGGTCGTGCTTCAGGACGCGGTCAATCATCCCCACCCAGGTGTCCGAGGCCGCGAGCGAGAGGACCAGTGCCTTTGTGCGCGAGAGGAAAGCCATCTGCGAGCAGAGGGGCTACAATCGCGGCGTGCAATCGGGGGTCGTGAACTCCAGGATCATCGCCTCCCGGTTGTCGTAAATGGTGTTCAGCGCGAAATACACGGTGTTGGACAGGGACCGGCGGATGCGGTTCAAGATGATGGTAGCGTCCAGCTCGGCGCAAGCTGCTGGGAATGCCACGTCCAAGCAGATCCGATGAGCATCCGCTAAGCTACTCAGGCTACGTCGGCGCTGCCGGACCTCGAGGCCCCGAAGAAGCGGAACCGCTAAGAGAGCGAGGAACTGCGGCAGATAGTCCGCGGGCATATCGATCAGCCCGATGACGGAAGGGGCGACTGCGAACAGGGGCGAAAGAGCCTCCAGCATGCGCGGCACCTGGCGGGGCGCGTCCAGGGAGATGCCGAAGATCGCGAGAACCATCTGGACGTGCCTCGGCTGGCTCCGACCCGGGAGGATCATCTCCAGGGGCTGCGTGCATAAGGCCTGGGAGCGAACCGCGGGGATCCACTTAGGCCCCAGAAGCGGGTGGGGCCACAAGTCCGTGAAGCCCGAGACATCCTTCGTGCCGTGGACGAGCGCGGGAAGGGCGCCACCATCCGCACGCTGCTCGGACGCCTGGCCGGGTCCGAGCGCCGCAGGGGCGCGGCCAAGAGGCGAGCCAAGGCTCCCGCATCATCCGGGGCCCAGGTCACCACATGTTGGCTGGCGGCCAGATCCCAAGCCTTCTCGTCGCCCTTCTCCAAGAGCTCGGAGACCCAGCGGGAGATGCCCATGAAGTCCACGCTGTCGCCGCCGTCGGCCAGGAGGCACGAAGACTGCGCAAGGAGGACCTCCTGGCAGCCGGGGGAGGCGGGGGAGCGGAGTAGAGAGCGGGCAGTAGCTCCCAACTCCTTCCACATGGGGAGCTTGACCGGCTTCAGCTTCCTGCGCTGAGCCAGCACCCCCAAGAACTCCGTCTCACAAGTCTGGGCCGCGCGGCGGAACTCACCAGCGATCTGATATATAAGGGAGCGGGCGGCCTCAGACAGAGGCGTCGCAAGCGTCAGATCACAGAGGGCGGGAGCTGTGCGCAAGCGTGCCGCGATCAGTTGCTCCGATGGGACGGGGCCCGCAAACCTGGCGAGGCCGAGGCACAACCGCGGGTCCGCGTCGCCGATCGCGCAGGCCAGCTTCCGGCAGATCAGCTTCAGGGTGTCCAGGTCTTTGGGGATGGCGATGGGGAGGTCGCGGACGGCGGGGGGTCACTGGTCACCCTTGCCCTCGCCTGGACGAGATCGAAGTGGACAGTGATCTCGTGGTCCGCCCATTCGCGGAAGAGCAAGTCGCGGATGGGGATCGAAGGCAGAGGAAGCCCATGTGGAGGTGGGGCCGCAGATGGAGCAGCTTGAGCGGCGGGGTCAGCGGCGGCAGCAGGCAGCGCGTCGCCGACGCCATCAACGTCGATGGCTTCCCCGTCGGCGTCGTCCTCGTGCGCCGAGTCCGCAGACAACATCGCCATCTCCTGAGTCAGGCCCGTGTCCTCGGCTGGTTGCGCCGCAGCGGGCACGCTCTGCCCCGCATCCCCGTGCGCAGCGCAGAAGCTCGAGCCCAGGACCGCCTCGCCTGCAACCCCATGATTCAACCAGATCTGGAAAGCTGGCATTGCGTCGGGGCGCTCGCTCTGAGGGCGCTGGCAGGAGGGGGAGCTTGGTGCAGCACGTTTTGTTGCTAATAGGTCGCTCCTTGAGGCACCTACGGATCTTGAGCCACTTGAGCCAAAACGCTCCTCGAGCCACTCTTCGGAGGTCCAATATGTATCCAAGCGTCAGAACTGGTTGATTCTCAACCCGAAGCTCGATTCTCGACGAAGACGACGATGGCGACGACAACGACGACGACGAGGACGACACGGAGGTCTCTGGAGGCCTGCGCTGGCCTGCGCAGATCCACGGAGACCCCCGGAGGTGCCCAAGAGGTACCCGCACCACCGAAGTTCCCTGGATCCGAGGCCCCCCAAAACAGAGCGAACATGAAACGAGAAGCCCCCCAAGAGGACCCATGAGGCCCCCAAGAGACCCCCAGGAACCCCCAAAAGGCCCCCACGAGGCTCCCGAGCGGCGCCCAAGAGATTCCCAAAAGGCCCCCAAACTACCCCCAAGAGGCCCCCGAGAGCGCTCGTCGTCGTCGTCGTCATTCAGGGTCGGCGGCGCCGGCCGTAAGGCCTTCGCAATCAACCGAACATAAAACGTGCGAACATCGGGGGGGGAGAACGAAATGGTAGGATAGCCAAGGGCAGCGTAGATAATCAGCTCACGTAGATGGGTTTCCTGGCGCCTCCTGGCGCCAGGAAGCGCCCATGTATGGAGAAATGGGCCTGGCGGCGGGGCCGAAACCAGCTGCAGCAAATTTCGCACCCCCTTTTTCCCCTATCCTACCTTTTCGTCTGGCCCAAGAAAAATGCATGTGCAAGAGGCTCGAGGCTCGATTTCTGACGACGACGACGACGACGACGACGACGACGACGACGACGACTAGCAGGACGACGACATGGAAGTCTCCAGAGGCGGAGGTCCCCAAAGGCCTCAAAAGGCAATCAACACCTCTGAGAGCCTGGATCCTTTATGCCCGAACATCGATAACCAGGGCCTGGCCCTCTTCGTCGTTCGGCGGGGGAGAGGACGTGGGGTGACGGGGGGGGAAGGAGGGGAAGGAAGAGGCAGAGTGATAGCGAGGCGAGTGAACATAAGAAGAAACAGCATGCTACGAATCATAAGACGAATCAGAATGTGACAAGAGGAAGATCAGACAGAACACTCATGCTGGCAAGAGCACGACGGCGACGGCGACGGCGAACGAGATGAGCTGCCCGACCCTCACCCCTCCCAGCGGGCGGCGGGGTCGTGTGGTCCCCCTCTCCGACGCCCGCCGGTCCGTTCGGGTCCATGCCGCCCGCAGTGCCGATCTTCCGGGAGCCGCCGCCGCCGCCGTCAATGCCGTCGCCGCCGTCGTTGCCGTCGTTGCCGCCGCCGCCGTCGCCGCCGTCGCCGCTGTCGTCGTCGTCTTCGTTGTCGTCGTCATCGTCGTCGGGACCGCGGCATAACGGAAGAACGGGGGAAGACTCTTCCACCCCGCTTCTGGCCTGCTGCCGTCTACAGGCCTTCCTCTACAGGCCTTCTTCTTCCCGGAAGAGGAAGGCCTGCAGACGGCCCCATGAGGGCCCTGGGACAGCCCAAGAGAACCCCAATGGGGGGGCCGCGGCTTAAGAGAGACCCCCCGGGCGGCTCCAATGCCCCCAAGACCCTCCAGAAAGACACCAGGACCCTGCCCCCACCCCTGGACTTACATACCCCAAGCTGGCCCGAATACCGTCCCGAAAGATCCCCAGGCGCAACCCCCTTCTGAGCAGGAAGAGCGATGGATCGTAGGATGCAACGTTGCCGGACGAGCGAGGGAAGACTGAGTGCCGGAGATTCGGGCAAGGAGGAGGAGGAGGGGCAGGCGGGCACAAGAGAACAATGCGCAAACGCTCGCGAGGTGCAATGTAAAGCCAGCCAGGAGAAGGGGGCGTACACAAAGTCTAACAGAGAGCGAGCAACGCGGGCTATCCGATGAACGTTCAAGAGAGGTGCGCACGCGACCCAAAGGACGACCACTCCTTCGATAAATCCTGCAACACCAAGCCGTCCTCTAGATCTCCAGATGCCACTGGTCGTCCTGTCCCTCGTCTGGCGTATGTGCTCGACCCTGTTGATATGTTTGCGCTGTTCGTGTCACGGTCGTTCTGCAACACAGCGTCCCAATTCCTCACCCGTCCCTGCCACACAGCATCCCCTCTGCACAAAATTGGGTTGAGTAGGCGGAGGAGGAGGAGGAGGAGGAGGAGGAGGAGGAGGAGGGGGAGGAGGTGGAGGGGGAGGAGGAGGAGGAGGAGGAGGAGGAGGAGGAGAAGGAGGAGGAGGAGGAGGAGCAGGGGGAGGAGGAGGGGGAAGCCCCCTGTCCCTCTCGCCCCGTGTGCTGTTGCGCGCCTCTATGACTGCCTGGATGGCGTCGTGGTCGCTGCCGCCGTCCCCCAGGTTTCTGGTGCCGATCACGGACGAAGGAGGCGTGTTGCTCAATATGTTGTCGATGCCGCCGCACATCGCCTTCCCCTCATTCCCCCTGCCGCACTTTCTTCTTGCAAGCTCTGCTTCTGTCTGTAGACCCCCGTAGATGCATCAACGCTCCCGACTCTCCTCCGCCGAGCGCCCGTGAATGCCAACGCCGAGTCTGCCAGTGCGCGTGCACTGCGTAATCTGCAATATCGCTAACTGAGCTTGTTTGCAAAATGCGTTGACGACTGACAATTCGCTGCCTGCTGCAGACTGAAGGATGCTCAGCACCGTGGGGCCACGACAGACTCTGAGCGTCAGGATGGCCAACTCGCACATGCATTGAACCATAACGTGTCGTGTGAAATTGAGCCTGGGCAGGGCGCGTGCACA